CGGAATGTACAAAGTATGAATCTAGGAAAATTGGAAGTTGTCAAAAATGAAAGCGAACGCTTGAAGATAGATATCCTAGGCATTAGCTGAAATGGACTGGTATTGGCCATTTTGAATTGGACAATCATATGGTCTGCTATGCCAGAAATGACAAATTGAAGAGGAATGGCATCAAATTCATTGTCAAAAAGAACATTTCAAGATCTAGCCCGAAGTACAATGCTGTCAGTGATAGGATAATATCCATATGTCTACAATGAAGACCAGTTAATACAACTATTATTCATATTTATGCACCAACCACTAATGCCAAAGATGAAGAAATTGAAGATTTTTACCAACTTCTGCAGTCTAAGATTGATCACACATGCAATCAAGATGCATTGATAATTACTGGTGATTGCAATGTGAAAGTTGGAAATAAAGAAGTATCAGTAGTTGGAAAATATGGTCCTCATGACAGAAACGACCCTGGAGATTGCATGATAGAATTTTACAAGATCAACAACTTATTCATTGGAAATATCTTTTTTCAACAACATAAATGACAACTATACATGTGGACCTCGCCAGATGGAATACACAGGAATCAAGTCACTATATCTGTGGAAAGAGATGATGGAAAAGCTCAATATCATCAGTCAGAACAAGACCAGGGGCCGAATGCAGAACTGACCATCAACTGCTTATGTGAAAGTTCAAGCTGAAGCTGAAGAAAATTAAAACAAGTCCGCAAGAACCAAAATACGACTGAGTATGTCCCGCCTGAATTTGGAGACCATCTCAAGAATAGATTTGACACATTGAACAATAATGAGTGAAGACCAGACGAGTTGTGAGATGACATCAAGGACATCACACATGAAGAAAGCAAAAGGTCATTTAAAAGACAGGGCAGAAAGAAAAGACCAAAATGGATGTCAGAATAGACGCTAAAACTTGCTCTTGAACATAGAGTAGATAAAACAAAAGGAAGAAATGAAGTAAAAGAGCTGAATAGAAAATTTTAAAGGGCAGCTTGAGAAGACAAAGTAAGGTATTATAATGAAATGTACAAAGACCTGGTGTTAGAAAACCAAATGGGAAGAACATGCTTGGTATTTCTCAAGCTGAAGGAACTGAAGAAAAAATTCAAGCCTTGTGTTGCAATAGTGAAGGATTCTATGGGCAAAATAGTAATGACGCAGGAAGCTTCAAAAGAAAGTGGAAGGAATACAAAGAGTCACTGTATGAAAAATAATTGGTCGAGATTCAACCATTTCGGGAGGTGGCATATGAACAAGAACCAATGATACTGAAGGAAGATGTCCAAGCTGCACTGAAGGCACTGGTGAAAAACAAAGCTGCAGAAATTGACTGAATATCTACTGAGATATTTCAGCAAACGAATGTAATGCTGGAAGGACTCACTTGTCTGTGTCAAGAAAATTTTAAGACAGCTACCTGGCCAACCGACTGGAAGAGATTCATGTTTGTGCCCATTTCAAAGAAAGGTGATCTAACAGAACGAGGAAATTACCGAACTAATATCATTGATGTCACACACAAATAAAATTCTGCTGAAGATAATTAAAAAATGGTTGCAGCAGTACATCAACAGGGAACTATCAGAAATTCAAGCCAGATTCAGAAGAGGATGTAGAACGAGGGATATTATTGCTGATGTCAGCTGGATCACGACTGAAAGCAGAGAATACCAGAAAGATGTCTGCCTGTGTTTTACTGACTATGCAAAGGCATTTGACTGTGTAGATCATAATAAATTATGGATAAACTTGCAAAGAATGGAAATTCCAGAAAACTTAATTGTGCTCATGAGTAACCTGTACATGGTCAAAGAGGTAGTTGTTCAAACAGAACAAGAGGATACTGCATGGTTTAAAATCAGAAAAGATGTATGTCAGTGTTGCATCCTTTCATTATACTTATTCAATCTGTATGCTGAGCAAATAATCGAGAAACTGGACTATATGAAGAAGAACACAGCATCAAGATTTAAGGAAGACTCATTAACAACCTGTGACAGATGATTAACCTTGCTTGCTGAAAGCAAGGAGGACTTGAATTATTTACTGACGAAGATCAAAGACCACAGCCTTCAGCCTCAACATAAAGAAAACAAAAATCCTCACAATTGGACCAATAAGCAACATCATGATAAATGGAGAAAAGATTGAAGTTGTCAAGGGTTTCATTTTATTTTGATCCACAAACAATGCCCATGGAGGCAGCAGTAAGAAATCAAACAACACATTGCATTGGGCAAATCTGCTGCAGAAGACCTCTTTAAAGTGTTCAAAAGCAAAGATGTCACTTTGAGGACTCAGGTGCACCTGACCCAAGCCATGGTATTTTCAATTGTCTCATATGCATGCAAAACTGGACAATGAATAAGGAAGACCGAAGAATTGATGCCTTTGAGTTGTGGTGTTGGCGAAGAATATTGAATATACCATGAACTTCCAGAAGAACAAAGAAATCCATCTTAAAAGAAGTACAGCCAGAATGCTCCACAGAACGGAGGATAGCGAGACTTCATCTCACATACTTCGGACATGTGATCAGGAGTGACCAGTCCCTGGAGAAGGACATCATCCTTGGTAAAGTGAGGGTCAATGAAAAAAAGGAAGACCCCTAATAAGTTGGATTGACACAGTGGCTGCAACAGTGGACTCAAACATAGCCAACGATTGTGAGGATGGCGCAGGACCGGGCAGTGTTTCATTCTGTTGTACACAGCTTCACTATGAGTTGGAACTGACCTGATGGCACCTAATAACAACTACAGCAATTGACTGAAACGACCTTCAGTTGGACTGTATATTCTATTAAGATGACATTACCTCATTATCAGTGTAGGTGGTTTCTCAATAGTCTCCATATCTAACTAGAAAGTTTATAGTCAGCTTTTATCTAGAATTCTATATTTCTCAGGCTGTCTGATGCTCCACTAGTTTCATTTTCTCTAAGAAGGACATTTTTCTTTGAAAGTGGCACTGAGAAGGAAATCCTGAGGCTGACAAATCATTGCCAGCCCTGTCTTTCTTCTTCTAAGACTGCCTCAGTCTTTCACTTGTCATGCAGTCTTAGGTCCTAGTAGAGATTTGTGAGTTTTGCTGCTGTTGTAACACTACACTAATACGGACGAATATGGCACTTTTTGGGGAACAGTAAAAATTTGAATGAATTAGCAGTTGTTCAATATGTTTTCATAGAAAAAAACAAAGGAGTGAAGTGATTTTACTTTACTCAGCATTCAGTCAATATCCCAATTAAATTTTATAAAATGAAAAATCCTTTTAGACTAAGAACCCAAAAGCTATACTATAGCCCACACTAAAAATAATCTGCCAAGTGCCCAAATGACTGTTGAGTTAGACATAGAGAACTCTGTATCTTCAGTAGAAAGCAAGAAAAATGTACCAGTTTGTATATAGAAATGGACTATGAGTAATAAATAAAAACTCCAAGAATTTTAGACATAAATATGTGAAAAGATGTTTATTATTCACTTAAATTTTTTTGTAGACTGAATGAAAATATGACTTATTTTTACTTAATTTACCATTAGAATTAAATTTAATTATAAACATTTTAAAAGAAATATCTTTATTTTTATTCTTTTATTCTACAAGAAAAGGGATCATTCCCAGTAATTAATACTAAACAGTGTGTAATAATCTGCTCTAGCATTACATCTTAACTACATCTGAAATAAAGGATATTGCTACATATTAATGGATTGATATGTTTTTATACAAGTGTATTATAATATACAGTATGGGAAAAGTCAAATTTCATGAATTTTTAAGATATGTGTACTTTTAATACACTAGTTTAAAAGTACAATTACAAAGCAAGAAGAGTAATACAAAAATGAACACTGCAAACATTTCTTTACAACTTCTGGATATTGTATTTTAATTAGTAAAAAACACAGTGAACGCTAATTTAGAAATATTCGTAACTTTCCTTAATAAATGTTCTTAATTAAAAAAAAAAATGCTAAAGGTAATTTTTAAAGTAGTCCTGACCTTTTAGTTAGCCAAATTACCTTTTAGTCATTAATTCCATAAGAATTGTGGAGAAACTGTATAGTAGGAAACACTTGTTAAAAACAGATTGATATTACTGTAAATATAAAAAAAATTTTCTTATGTAAGTAATTTCTTAACTTACAACAATAAAAATGGTAAAATTAAAGAAAAACTCAAGGAATAGCATGATTTAATAAGAATGGAAGAGAAAAGATTGCCATGTACAAGGGTCTAAAAAAGAGTCACCATTAAAAAGAATAATGACTTCTTAACTAAAATTTTGAGCAAATAAGATTTTTACAAATAAAATGCCTTTGATTTGTTTCAAGGCCTATTCTTATAAGTGTTCAGTTTCATCCTGATAATTACCTGTGTCCAAGAGTGGTACCACCACTCAACAAATCAAAAGCTTAGTTTGTATCTTATATAGCATACATCTTATAGGAATAGCCAGGATTTCATAACTTGCAGGAACCATAAACACATCTCACTCCTGAGTCATTTTATTTCTTGAAGTGAGAAGAGGCAATGATGGAAAAGGGTTCTCATTAGATACTCCAAATGTGTAGTAATAGAGAGATTTTGAGTTTAGAGAACTTCATACTCACATTTAAGTGAATAAAAACATTAAGTTATATGGATCTTCCTCCTGTCAGGAATGCCCCTGACCTATCCACATCATTTTATTCCTAATCTGGAGCAAAGAGATTTTCTAGACCCTGTTGTACATATAAAAGAGATCGAATGGTGAGAATGATGCTGAGAAGTGACCAGAGATAGGATGCTTTGGGTGCTACTGATCAATGTGATTTCTATTTACTTAAAAAACATCACATGTTGCCCTTAAAGTTCATGGAAAAAAATAACATTTGAATAGTGATGAAACCCTGTGGTGTAGTTTGAAGAGAGGCATGAGAGAGATTTGGGAAAACAGCTGACAGTTCTCAACAAGAAAAGCTTTACCTTAGTTGATCTTTTCCAACTCTTCCTCATTAGCATTGTCTGTAAATGAAATAAAGCATTTTAATTATCTTTTTACTGAAGTACAGAATAGGGCAGCCAATTGTTTTCTAGAGGAAACTTAACATTTATTAGCTCTTTAAGCAGCAAACAGTTCCCAGTAACAACTATACAAGACAAACATTGTTTTAGAGAAACATGTACACACAACTAGAAGCACCTTTAACATTCAAGCAGTCTTTCTGGTGAGAGTTCATTTGGTTTATTCTTTTGTACAAAGAAACAGGACAATATATTCAAAACAGAATAGAAATGTTGAAATACCTTAATTATCAATAGGAAAAAAAAAAACACATTAAGTTTCATGATTGGCAATTGTTGCTTTTGGTGGTGGTGGTGGAGGGTGGAACTGACCTTATTGGGCACACAATATTCTTTTTTTTTCAAACATATTCAAAGTTTATCGTTTTGGTGGCATCCTCAAATTGTCTCTGTGTCTAAATAATCTTTAGTTACATCAGGGACTACAAATGTTTTCACTGAGAAAAGTGATGTGTAATGTTATGGTTATTAGTGGACCTTCCTTGCTAAAACTTTAGCCAAAACATAGCCTTTAAGCTAGTATGCTTATGTCATAGTAAGAAGTTTTACGGCCAAAAGTTTTAATTAAGGTTCTGGAGATTTGTGATGGGTCCCCAAGATCACTGGCTTCTGCATAAAATAAATCATAAAAACCCAAAGGTTTTTATTGCCTCTCTTCAGTTAAAAGAAAAATTTCTCAATGAATGCTGAGGTATTGATCTTCTTGATTAATCTCTATATCCTCTCTGACTTTACCACTATCTTTAAGACAGATAAAGTGGAGAATAGGGAATATTTGCAGCAAAAATATAGCTTACAGTAATACTTGCCATATTTGTAGATCTAGTAAGCACACTAGTACCTCAACGAACGATGGCTACTTCAGCAGAATCCACTCTAAAGCAGGACTATTTTAGAAACTACCCATGGATTACAAAAATACAAAGAAGAAAAGATTTTACTATAAGGCTAAGTCACATAGAAGCTAACCTTTGGCCTAAATCAAGAGAATGGAATTATGTAAAGGTTCTATGTTAGGAAATAAGAAAGTCATAAAATTGTGAAAAGTATAATTAAATTTCTCTTTTCTGTAGATAGTGGTTTCACAGGGCATATTTTATCTATATACACTCAGTATTAAATATTAACCAAAATATACAAGAGTAACAGATTTTTTAAGGTTATAATAATTTCCTAATTTTTTTCAAATGGGCCAAGAAACTGCAAGGTGTTATTTTCAAATATTATTACAGTAAGTACTTTATATGTTTTTTAAGTATTGATGTTTAATTCATTTTGAAGGAATAAAAACCATCACTGAGTTACGGAGATGGACATCTAGTGGACATATGACAAATGTTTGTTGTTGATGTTGAATAAGTCATTGTCATCACTATCAATATCATCACCACCTCCACCACTTCCTCCATCATCATCAAAAGGCAATTGGAAACCAAGTACTTTTGTGGTATGCAGTATTCACAAAAACTGCTCCATAAGGAGTCAGGTAATAAATGCCCCACTCCACTGTCTCAGAAAGCAGAGTTTCAGTGGACAAAGACCTATAATTCCTAGAGACAATGTTTTGAGCCAAATCAAGTTGAACAATAAAAGTAAGTAACAGTAAAAAAAAAAGGAAAATCTCTTCACTTGTGGTCATTTACCATCATCATCTAGCATTTAAGATTCCTGAAATATCAAATTCCATTCTATTATAAATGTTAAACTATAAAAAGGGAGTCTCTAGAACATCAGGGACAGTAGAATCTCATGGCAACACTACTCAATCTACCTAATTCAGGAATAATGCTTATCAAAGTGACATCCCCTGACTTAGAACCACTGTGTATAATTAACCTTCTCTATGTAAAGCAAACTACAGAGTTGGTATTTTCCCTCTTTCCCAAAGTTAGTTTTATAAATAGGCTGTATGGTATTATTTTTCAGATTGGGAAACTGATACAAAAAAAAGTCAGAGATTTTCCTAAGCAAAAATACGATAGACTTGTCAGTTATGAGGAGCAATTCATTTTTTTTCCTGATACAGTATCTAGAGTTCTATTATTAGATCTAGTGACTCTCAAAATGGTCCTTGATTTTATAACAAAATTTCTGCCAACTAGCTAAGCCATGGGTTTAAATATCCCACTCTCAAGTCTCTTTTCTTTTTAGATAGTTGAGTTAAGGTAGATTCACTAAACTGAAAACTACAGAAAAGTTAAAAAAAAAAATTAACTGACATACTATTAATATTGTTACCTTTGCTATCTGTGAGACATGTTAGAGAAGAAAGATTGTTTGGGGAATGTTAGCGATAGAAGATGAAGCAAATTCTAGAAAAAATAAGATTTGTTTTTTGTTCTATGACCTTAACTTCAGCTGAGAAACATATGAATTTTATTTTGACAGTGTTACTATCAAATATTATTACAGTACAACTCAAATTCTTACATGAGCGATTTGCAGCTCAACATTCCTTAAAACCAATAAAAAGAATAAGTCGCATAAAAATATGACATATTAATAGATGAGCTACAAAGTGATTATGTTTTTAGAAGATTTCACAATCTCAATCCATTTTTTACTTTATCCTTTATTTTAGTGATGTTTTCTTTAGGCAGTTACATAGCTACTACAGATACAAAAAAATCATAGAATGGCTAGAGATTATAGTATATACATCTTACAAAACATATACATTCAGTTATTTGTAGGTGGATATTTTTTTCCAAATGCTGGCTATGGAATAATTCCGAAAAATATAGAAAATAAACCAACATGAGAAATATATATTTTTAAATTCACTACAAGCCGACTAGGATCAGTTCATACGTTTCTTAGAATTTTTTATTTTTTTTTTAGCTTTAGCCAAGCAATATGTAGGTCTAGGTTATCTACGAGAGTGTGTAACACAAATTAACTCACTTTTATTTCACAAATTCTCCAATGAAGAAAGCTGTGGATTGAACTCTGCTAAGAAAAGAGCCAGAAAGAATGCAAACACACAATCAAACCGAAATACCAGATACAGGACACGTGTGTATATATGGCACACTCTTCAGGTCAAACACAGAACATGCATTAGAAACAGAAATGACACTTGTGCCATGCAACTCATCAGCATGCCCCCAATGAAAGTTTTGGTTTCTCATACACACAATGCTGGAAATGTATAAAAGAAATATATATACATATATCTGTTTGATTCTGGGATTTAGTTTTAAGACCTCAATCATGAACTTAATGGAGAAGATTTTAACGTAGCCAACTAAGAAATACTTCTGCTGTTTCTCACACTCCACTTCTTACATTGCTGTAATTAGACATTGCATGTTTTGGAGGCTTTTTAGTAGATTCAGTAGGCTGATAGGTTTCTTCAACTTTTTCTTCAGTTTTACTGATATCCAGAACTGGCAATTCACACAAGGAGAAATCATCCCAGCTGCATTATTCATGGAATGAATTGTCAGTATTAACAGTGCATAAAACTCAAAGATAAGTGATTTAGAAATCTTAAGCACTTTGTGATGCTAAGTACTCTGTTTTTCCAGTCATTTATTTCTTCCTACTTTTTCTTCATGGCTTTTGCTTAATGCTAACATTCTATTTCCTATTTGACTGTTAGGAATTCATTGTTTGAAAGCTTTTCAAACTCATCTCTTACATTCCCCATTTTAATACACATAAAAATGTTTAGCGAAGTTTTATAAACACAAGCATAAAAATGTGGTATTTGAACTAAAGTTTTAAGTCCCCAAACCTTAAATTATATCTGAGGTAATAACCGAAGAGAACAGAACTCTTCTTATAATTTTGTTGCGTGAAGGTCGGTGCAAAATCATCCTCAATTCCTTCCTTATACTTTATTCTGATTAAGTATTGAATGGAATTGTGAACCATTTAGTAGCTGATTTCTGGTCTGGCACATTTCGAGTTTGAATTTCTGTAAATAAGATTTGCCCCCGAAGTTTTTGACAGGATAATTTGTGAAAGTTCAGCATACCATCTTAACTGTAGCAACAGGCTAAGTATTTCAGGCATATGAAACCTAATTTGATGATACATTGGATCTTTGTTTGCTTTTAGTGAGGAAACTTCGAATGAGCCTGGAGAAATATATTTAGCTAACACTAGAAATGTTACAAATTGAAGAAAACATAGTGATTCTGATTATAATCCATTGTCATCATTAGAAACCTCGAGGACAGCAATGCAACCTGGATGTAAGCAGATCTTCAGTAACATACAATTATAAGAACTTACTAAAGAACATTACATACAGTTAATTATTTAATATTGTTTGTGACAACTTCAGGGATTTCAATGTTGAAATAAAAATAAAAAATTCAAGTACCTTCTCCTGGTTCTTTGAAGCATCTCTTCAAACCCTTGCAGTGATTTCACCTACAACTCATTGAACAACTACAGGGTACAGAACAACCACTGGACTAGGTTTTGAGAGGAGTCATTATTAGAAAGATAATCAGAAGCAATAATTTGTCCATATATTTTTCAGGAGTGATAGGACATTGGATGGAGTGTAGGCACATTTTAGGTAGGACAAGTGACATTGACAAAAGCTTGGACTTGAGAGAAGGTGAACTGTGAAGGAGCTTATGGCTGAGACAGAGGTTACAAGGAAGGGAACATATGCTGAAAAGAAGAATGAGAGAGTTATTCTAATAACTAGTGTTGATTAACAGTTTTAGAGATCTTAATGATACAGTTATAGAGCCATTACATAGACTAAACAAACAAGCAACAACAAAAAGGTAAATTTATATATATTTGTTGGGAATTTTCATAACATAAAACATACACTTAGGAACTCAGATTCAAATCTAGGACATCAAACTCACCAGGTACCATATTAGTTCTCAATAGAATTTACCGTGGTGTAGGAGGGGTCTTTTAACCCTTCTCTCCCTCCCCTTGACCCAGTTTGCTTCTCTACAACCAACCCAAAGTCCTTGGTTATTATTCACAGCCACAAGGAGTTAAGTTGCTGTACTACCCAGTATAGCCATACTGGGCATGCTTCTCTCTGCCTCCTCAGTTGTGACCGAGGTCAAGATAGAAAATGCAAGGATATTCACCAGCCAGAGGCCAGCTCTGGTACAGGCTGCAACTATCGGGCCTCTTCCGAGCCCTGGCTAAGCCACTTGTTCCTCTGATGAAGAGGAGAGATGCCAGGTGGGAGTCAACAACAGTATGGGAGGGAAGAAGACACAATTTCTCAGTCAACCCGGCAGAATAAATTCCAGTGCTACCTCTAACTCTGAAAGGGGAGGACACAAAGTAGACAGTGAATGAAAAATACCTGGCAGTAAGAGATTTCTCTCAAAAAAGCTGGGGCAAGGGATTTGAATCAAGAAAATGGCATAAAGATTTCAAGAGAGGCTTTGTTAAGCATGAGTATGGCAGCACAGACAATGAGGAGAAAGGAAAAGGGGAAAACAAAGAAGAGGAATAAAACCAGCTTTTTGATGTGTAACTGCTTCATTAAACACCACCTACTCTCTTCCCTATTCATTTGATAACTTATGATCAGCTCCCAGGCACTGCAATATTTTTTAATAATTTTCCTTTAATTAAAAAGACATTGTGCTTAAAAAGTAAGTTTGGGCAGCTGTGAAGACTGAAGGATTTTTGCAAGGATTGTTGAAAAACAAGTAATGTTGGGAACTACTTTGCCTGTGCTCACACATACTTTTGTGTAATTTAGAACAACTCAGCAGCTTCATCATAAGATCTCTTGATGCTAGCTTGATCCCTAAAATCCTCAGTTTGATTTTAGAGTACTCAATAAATAACCCTTTAATGTAAAAATTCAGCAGACTACCTATCATCAAATCACCAAGTAACTACTCATTCCAATCTCCAGTAATATTGCAAGTTTGGATGGTTTGGGGACACACAAGACCTCACAAGATTTAGACATTTACATTTATGAAGTGCTGTCTTTTTTAAAATACAAGAAAACCCCAACGCAAGAATATTCTATTACCAAGTTTGGTTGATTTTACCTCCTACAGGTAAACCTGTCCATTTCCCTCCATCTCTACCTTTGACAGCCCTAATCCAAGCCTCTGTCATCTTTCACCTAGATTTCTGAAATAGCCTCCTAACTGGTCTCCAAGCATTCATTTTACTGCTTTAATCTGTTTTCTACAGTGCAGATAAAGAAATATTTTCAAAAGGCAAATATGATTATGCCTCTTCCTGTCTACAGACCTTTCAATGGCTCTCCATTGCTCTTTGAGAAAACACCACAAATCTTAATACAGCCAGTAAGCCCTACACACTCTGGGCATCTCCTTTCCATTGCAGTGCCATCATGGACCATAATCCCCTACACTGTATTTGCTTCCACCTTATATAACTCCAGCACTTTTTTAAATTATTGGAATGCAGTACTGTTTCTCTAGCCACAAAGCCTTTGCATGTGCTGTTTTCTCTGCTTAAAATACTTTCTCTCTTCCTGGTTTTTGCTGTACTAACTCCTATTCATGCTTCAGATTTTATTTTCTCAGAGAAGTCATTTCTCTACCCCGTGCCCCCCGATTAGAACAAATTCTTTTATTATTTGTACTTACAGAAACCTGTACCTCTCTTTCATAGCACTTAAAATAGTTGTCATTTTAAACAACAAAAAGACAAATAACCCAATTAAAAAATGGGCAAAGGATATGAACAAGCACTTTGCCAAAGAAGACATTTAGGCAGCTAACAGACACATGAAGAAATGCTCACGATCACTAGCCATTAGAGAAATGCAAATCAAAACTACAATGAGATACCATCTCACCCCAACAAGGTTAGCATCAATCCAAAAAACACAAAATAAAAATGTTGGAGAGGTTGTGGAGAGACTGGAACACTTATACACTGTTGATGGGAATGTAAAACAGTACAACTACTTTGGAATCGAACTGGAGCTTCCTTAAAAAGCTAGAAATAGAAGTATCATACTATCCAGCAATCCCGCTCCTTGGAATATATCCTAGAGAACTAAGAGCCATCACACTGATAGATATATGCACAGCCATGTTCATTGCAACACTGTTCATGATAGCACAAAGATGGAAACAACCTAGGTGCTCATCAATGGATGAATGGATAAACAAATTACGGTACATTCACACAATGGAATACCACGCAATGATAAGAACAACGATGAATCCGTGAAACATAACATGGAGGAATCTGTAGGGCATTATGCTGAGTGAATTTAGTCAGTCACAGAAGGACAAATATTGTACAAGATCACTATTATAAGAACTCAAGAAAAGGTTTAAACACAGAAGAAAATATTCTTTGATGGTTACGAGGGTGGGGAGGGAGGGAGAGGGGTATTCACTAACTAGACAGTAGACAAGAATTTTCTTAGGTGAAGGGGAAGGACAACACACATCACAGGGGAAGTCAGCACAACTGGACTAAACCAAAGCTAAGAAGTTTCCTGAATACAACCAAACACTTTGAGGGACAGAGTAGGAGGGGCAGGGGTCTGAGGACCATGCTTGCAGGGGACATCTAGGCCAACTGGCATAACAAAGTTTATTAAGAAAAGGTTCTGCATCCCACTTTGGTAAGTGGCATCTGGGGTCTTAAAAGCTAGTGAGCGGCCATCTAAGACACATCAATTGGTCCCAACCCACCTGGAGTAAAGGAGAATGAAGAACACCAAAGACACAAGGAAAGTATTAGCCCAAGAGACAGAAAGGGGGCCACATAAACCAGAGACTGCATCATCCTGAGACCAGAAGAACTAGATGGTGCCTGGCTACTACCAATGACTGCCCTGACAAGGAACACAACAGAGATTCCCTGATGGAACAGGAGAAAAGTAGGGTGCAGGACTCAAATTCTAGTAAAAAGACCAGACATTAGTGGTCTGAGACCTGAGGGACCCCAGAAAGCATGGCCCCCAGACTCTGTCAACGGAGAACTAAAACAATTCCCGAGCCCAACTCTTCAGACAAAGATTAGACTGGACTACGGGACATAAGATGATATTCGTGAAGCATGTGCTTCTTAGCTCAAGTAGATACATGAGACTAAACGGGCAGCTTCTGTCCGGAGGTGAGATGAGAAGGAAGAGAGGGTCAGGAGCTGGTTGAACAGACACGGGAAATCAGGGGTGGAAAGGAGGAGTGTCACAGTATAAGGAGAGCTATCAGGGTCACATAACAATATATGTATAAATTTTTATATGAGAGACTAACTTGAATTGTAAACTTTCACTTAAAGTACAATAAAAAATAATTTAAAAAAATAGTTGTCATTTTACATTTCTTTCTGTGATTACTAGATTTCTGAGTTCTTCTCCACTGGCTCTAAGTTCTTTTATATTCCAAGTGTCTAGCACAGGACCTGGCTTATAGTAGATGCTTAGTGAATATTAGGATTATTTGAATAAATTAGTAAATGAACATTTGTAATTTATTCCTATATATGGATTAGCCAGCTAGGGTACACTTCTTGGTTTATGCTGGGTGAAATTATGTCTTCTGAAGTGCTGACTTCTAAAATGATGTGCTTCCACGAATAGTTTCCCTTTCTAAATATTATCTGTAATTTTTTAAAATTCTTACTCACCTTTCCATTTCCACACTTGTGCTTGTGCAGCTGCATGTATACATAATTTCACCAGGCTAAGTTCTCACACTAGGTACTATTTGGTAATACTTGCTGGAAAAGATATGTCTACCTCACTGATGAAGTATGGTTACTTAAATCATATTTAGCAACTATTATAATTATCAGTATGTTTTATATACACACATATATATGATATTATATATATCAATCATTATTCAATTTTTAAAACGGATGGAAAGAAACACTTGTAGAAGAGGATGAATTTCTCAATGAGTTTAAAACACTTCAAAAATTTGGTATTGTAATCTGCTATTTTTATCTATGATCTAGGAAAAAATGTCAATAATAACTTTCCAACAGACAAACATATAGCAATTCTAATCATGTATTATTCTAAGACAACAATACACACATGGCTGAAATATAGTATTTGAACCTTCCTAACAAAAAAAAGTCAACTCCTAAAATGTTTTGCAATTTGACCAAGTTAGAGTAGCTCCTAGGTACATGAAAGGGCACTGAGTCTAATAAGTAATCTCTGCTAAGTAATGGCGTAAGTGCACTGGCAAGCGTAGCGATGCAGGTCAAATCGGATATTTTTCATGTTACTTCAACAGTGCTGGAGTAATTGACTCCTCTGTATCCCTTCTCAGTTTCCCATCGCAGCATGGTGTGCAAGGAAGCTCAGACAGCCAGTGTTGAAAAATGGATCACACCAATATGGAAGCCCATCAAGAAGATGGAGAGTATTCACTTACCATTCAGCAAACAAATACCAGAAAGCAGAAACTCTGTTATAATTTCACCTCATTTTCTTTGTTATGATACTTGTGACAATACAATTGAAATAGAAGGATCTGGATACCTCAGTGTGGAATTCCAGATATTCCATTCACTAACAAATGAATTCCCTGAATGAATACTGATATTAGCCTAGATTGTAACATGTCTAAAAATGACAAACAACATGATAAAAGATGCAAGTATGTCCGTTATTTACAACAAGAGGTTCTGATCTGGAGTATGGAATAGGAGATTTGAGTTCAAAAGGCAGAATAAGCACGGATAGCAATACCCAGGTTACTCACAGAAACAAAGAACGAGGTCAGATTTTCATATGCAGCTTCTCTTTATTATTACCCCTGGGTCCAAAGAAAGCTCACAGCATTTGCACAAGTGAGAGCCCAGAAATTTCCTACTAGGCTGTGGAATGACTTACCACATCTCTAGGTTCTCCTTCTTTAGGGGTAAGAATGACTGAGAGCAAAATGATTCCAAGATCATGGTCAGGATAGTGGGGATCTTTCAGAGTTAGGGTCACATCTATGGGCCTGTGATAGGAAAACATTTAGATTTTGAACAGTCATTAAATGAATAAGACAAAAATATATTTAATACTTATGTATATATTTATAGCGTATATAATCATGTAAATATAATTTATTATTTTTAAGAAGAAAAGCTACTTTGTCTTTATTTCCTGGTACAATTTTTATTGTTATCAAAATATTATTAATGTATTATGTTACCCAATAAACTGTGGGCCAGTTGGGTATACTTGAATTTAATGGGTGAGTTTCTGCCCTTCATGGGCCTCTGGAAAGTTGCTGAATAGGTCAAGAAACCACAACAGTATTAAGAAAGCTGCAAGTCCCTTCTCTATAATCTGTAAATCCACAGAGAGCAGTACCAGCTATTTTCTACAAATTTGAGTCCAAGGTCATTTGCCGACCACTCCCTTAATTTTGGTTCTTTATGCTTATGTTTTATGCAGATGTATGTTTTAGAGTAAAGAGGTAAGTGGGCAAAGAGGAAAATGTAAGATAGAAGATAGAATTTGCCTGATACATACGGAAGATATGTTTTGAAAACAATATACAATTATTTAACAGTACATTCAGTATTTAAAATAATGCTTCTATTTCTTCTTTTGGCTTTTTAAACCTATGCTTAAACAAATTTTAGACTCTGAAAGACAAAGAAACCAATCCTTATAAAAGTTGAGTAATATAGGTTTTGGAATTAGGTACACATCTGTGAGGAAGTGTTTATGAATTACTCAATATTGTTCACAATTTCAGAAAATAATGCAAAATATACACTCAACTTATAATGGGATAGGTAACATCTTGCTTGCATATTTCAATTAGCATTGAGCAAACAGCCATAATTGGGAATTGTGGAATGTTTAGCACTAAAGAATTTCAAAACGTTGGCAAACAGGAATGTTTTTTGCTTGTTCAGTCATTCACTCACCTCATGCATTCATTCACAAAATATGTATTGAACACATATTAAATGCTAAGTTAACACTGTGCTAGGCTCTGGGTCAAGACCAAGGTAAGATCCTTGTCCTCATGGAGCTTACCTTTAGCACATGATACAGTTGGATTCTGGTACTGGGGGAGGGAGGTTTGGTGGGGAAAGCTGGTCCAAATAAGAAGTTTTTAACCCTTGTTGCACATCAGAACCAACTGCAAAGCTTTTTAAAAGAGTATACACCTGAATTACAGCCCTGATGACTCTGGTCTGTAGAACTACGATGGGGCTTGGAAATCTATATATTTATAAAGTTCTCCAGTGGATTTTCTCAAACAACCAGGATTGAGAACCATAGGTTCTTTTCAGTGATAAACGTTATGATTTTAGGAAACTTTCACATAATGCTTAATTACCAAGTCAAAGAACAATGCACTAAAAAATATGAACTATTTTCTGGTGTAGAGGGTTTCAACTGATAATATCCACTGTCACACTGATAATTTACATAAGCTATAATAGTTATGATGCAAATTGCTCCAATATGAATTTAGCTATAACTAATAATTATAACTCACTAGTAATAACTTGTTCCTTTTATTTTTAACAAATACATCCATATATACATTATACACATTATAGCACATGTATATGCAGGGTGAAAGTTTGATTTGGTACATTTTCCTATAATGATTACATACAAAATTAATAGAAAAACTTGATTACACTTTTAGAATGATTATATGACAAAGATTCAAGAACATTTGCAATAGCTCTATGATACTTACTTATGACTTTTTAAAGAAGAGATACCCCAATTATGTTATACCTTAATGCATTCTATAGTAGCACAAGTATTTATATGGCTACTATTATTATTCATGTTTCTATACCCAGACATCACTGATTTATACATAGAATTTAATGTGTGATTTTAAAAGTAGTAATTTGATACGTACTTGGCTTGGAGGAGAGGAAGTGCTTAGCTAAATACATAAAATAAGTAACGTGGCAAAATAAACAACAAATGCTTGTGTAAAATCTTTTATTTCCTTAGTCATTCTATATTTTTCCCATTTAAAATTATTTTTCATCAGTGATTTATCTTTAATAGAGAACAAGGGAAATTTATGCTGTGATTAAGTCAAGTAATTTGCGTATCTTTATGCAGAAGTCACAGAGAAAATAATTGTGGCCTTTTTAGAAGAATAGCACTGTCTGTTCTAGTTTGAGGTCAGGTTTCCTGATGATAGACTTCATGCAACAATACCTAGGGCACTTTCTTCAGCTGCAGCTACGTGAGGAGCCAGCAGTCTTCTAAGTTCTATCCTTAGTTCCAGCCTATGCTAGGTTGGAATGGAGGACATGTACGAAATACAGAAAAGGCTGCTCTCTTGTCCAGCCAGAGGCAAAAATGTCCATCAAACACCAATGAGCTGCCCCTTGTGCTCGAATTTAGCTGACTATAATACATAAGTGAGCTCTCCTATTTACAGTTCTCTGATCATCTAAATTTACAAAAACATGAAGTAGTTATCTGGCCTATTCCTCTGCCTTTTCTATCCCTGCCACATGATATAACAACATGATCACCCAAAACCTTCAAAGAAAATTTCACAGCTTCCTTTGAGATTCATTCCAGGACTGCGTGTCCTTTTATTAAACCTATTTTTTTTCGTCTGTACTACTAATCAATTCTTGATTCAGATGTTGAAATGCATTTTGAAAAATATAAGCCCATTAACTAGGTGCAAATCTGTCTTGGAAGAAGTACAGCCAGAATGCTCCTTAGAAGTGAGGATGGCAAGATCTTGTCTCACATACTTTGGACATGTTATCAGGAGGGACCAGTACCTGGAGAAGGACATCATGCTTGGTAAAGTAGAGTTAGTGAGAAAGAGGAAGACCCTCAACAAGATGGATTGACATACTGGCTGCAACAATGGGCTCAACATAGCAATGATTGTGAGGATGGCGCAGGATCAGGCAGTGTTTTGTTCTATTGCACATAGGGTCCCTATGAGTCAGAACAGACTTGAGACTTAACATAACAACAATTAGGTGCAAGAAATGGTTATTATTACCAATAATATAACTTTACAACTATTCAAACAATGATAAACTAATATAACTGAGCAAATATGACCAATCCTTTATGGGCAATCCTTGGAAACCTAGTATCACTGGTGACAGCAAAATTAGAATCCACTTTGGCTCAAGTGATAGGAGAGTTGCTGATTTTGAAGCAAAGTGCACTACCTTTATTTCCTATATGGTGGCCTGATTCTTAAACTAATAATTATGATTAACATGCATAATCTTCTTTATGCCTCATTAAAACCACATGAACAATGTGAGAGCAAGGAACGTGTATTTCATCTCTAGATTCCTGGTGGTTAGCACATTGCTGAGGGACAGAGCAGGTGCCCAAGATTTTTCTGTTGAATCAAAGTTGCCAAATGAGATAGGCAGAGAAGATGCTATTATTTCCACAGGGTAGACGAGAAAGCTGTACTTGAGAAAAGCTGACTGGTATGAAGGCTTACAACTAGTAAATGACAGAGCTGCAACTGGAACAGGGTCTGATGACATTGTCTATTATATAAGCCTGGCTGCCTAGCAAGATGCATTGATATTACAACAGTTCAAAGTTACCTTTTTAACTCCAATTGTGTGAGGTCCAGAAAGGCTGAGCCCATAAAGTCATCCTGTAGTCCAAAATCATAGTCAAAGACCTAAGCAACCAAAGAGACAAGAGATTGTTATAAGTAATTCCAATATAAGCTTTAAATGAAAACATCATGATTACAAAATAGTGGTTGTCTACGTCTCCAAAAGGAAATCCTGGAGCTTGGCTGCTAACCCAAAGTTTGGCAGTTCAAATCCACTAGGTGCTCCCTGGAAACCCTATGGGCAGTTCTACTCTGTCCTATAGGGTCACTACGTGTCAGAGTCAACTTGACGGCAATGGGTTTGGTTTTCAGTTTTTTTTTGTGTCTCCAAAAACAGTGAAACTTCCTAATATTTTGCTTTTCTAAAATAATTCTTTGTTTTTATGCTTTGAAATATCAGGAATGTCACAAAACACCCAAAGAAAATTACATTTTATTTTGTTTAGTTAAAATAACTGATTTCTATCATACAGCACTTTAAAAAAGGTGAATGTAACAAAATCAAAATAAAATACAGTAAATCTTCAAAAAATGTGTAATATTAGTATTACTGGAGGGCAAAGTGAATTGGCATGAAATTCAACAAACACGTATTGCATACTGAGCTACTACGGGGGTAAAACGAGAACACAATTCTAATTTCCTCATATTTTTAAGGTCATTGAAGATAAGTTCTCTGGTGTTATAAACATGCAAATAAGCAAAAATTGTTGAGATATAATGATTAAAGCACTTTGTAAAGTTATAGTAAGGTTAAATTAAATTTTTATTGTTACAGCAATTACTGGGGAGTAATATTAATGTGACTAACAGCAACAAAACAGAGGAAAAGAAAAGAATGGAGAGAATGTATTTCTTCTTTTGGTCAACATTATTCAGTGTCTTCTACGTGTCCTGCATTCTTCTGGGCTTTTGTGATACCAGGATGAATAAGAGAATGTCCCTCACCTCTTGGAGCTTATGTTTTGTGGCTAAGAGTGTCAATAAACAGATAGATATATACAGTTCAGTGATGAGCATGACGGATACAGAAGTCTAAGTGTTGTGATAGGAGCTGCTATTTTAGGTTGGGAGTTCAGGAAGGTTGCTCTGAGGAAGTGTATTTGTGTAGAGACCCGAATGATGAGAAGGAAGGACACCTTGGAAGAAAGGACTGGTAATGTACTTCTGGAAGATCAGCCACTGAAAACCCTATGGAGCACAGTTGTATTCAGAATTGACTCCACGGCAACTGGTAGTGGCAGTGGCAATATGAGGAAAAGCACTCCAGGCTGAGGAAACAGCAAGTGCAAAACAGGAATCTTCAAGGATAAGCAAGAAGCTAGCATGGTTGAAGCAGAGTGAGTAAGATGGAGAGTGAAAAGAAATGAGGTTGGATAGTTCAGAGTTAGATCATTTATGGCCACTACCAAAGGACTCCAAGTAAATGGGAGTTAGCTACTCTTCATACATTTATTAATTTTCTCACTCATTTATCCCTCAGCCAATATTGATTAAGCATTTATTATGTGTCAGACATAATTCCAGAATGCTCCTTAGAAGCAAGGATGGCGAGACTACGTCATACATACTTTAGACATGTTGTCAGAAGGGATAAGTCCCTGGAGAAGGACATCATGCTTGGTAAAGCAGAGGGTCGGCGAAAAAGAGGAAGACCGTCAACGAGATGGATTGACACAGTGGTTGCAACAACGGGCTCAAGAATAACGATTGTGAGCATGGCGCAGGACTGGGCAGTGTTTCGTTCTGTGGTACATAGGTTGCTATGAGTTGGAACCGACTCAACGGCATCTAACAACAACCTAACAAACAACTTGTGTCATACACTGTGCTTGGCATTGAGTAAAGAGTGGTAGACAAACTGACATTGTCAGTGCTTACAGTTTAGTGAGGGAGATGGACAGGTGCTAAACAAGGAAGTGCACAGGCAATAAATAAAGAAATCTCAATAAATGTGAGGAGAAGAACAAGGTCAAAAAGAGAATAAAGCGGAGATTGAGGAAAGCCTTTAAAATGGAAAAAATGCACAAGATGAAGTTTAGAGTTGTGTTTCCCAACCTTTTCAGATAGAAAACATTTATATTGTGCACTTGAATGGATGGCCAAGGCCACTGGCCCAGGCTGTGAGAATCCATTAAGCCAATATCCCAGCACCCCTGTGATCAATTCTTGGCACAACAATTAGAAAGCAGAAGGAACGTCACGTGCAGCGACCTTTAATTAGTTACTGTTTTTTCCTGTGGTACAAATTTAAACAAACTTAATATGTAAACAGTTGATATTTACACAAAAAGATAAATACTTTGCATTACAAAAGGATTCTTAAATTTGAAGAGTCACAAGGGGATTTGTTTAAATAATAAGCTCCCCAATGCCTTTTAAATTATTTAATTTATAATCATTTGATTTACAGACAACCTTTCAGTAGTATATTTGCTGTAGAAAGCTCAGCACTCCAGCAATAAATATTCTCCTTGATCAACTACACTTCTGAGCTTTAGTCATCCACTCAGTAGCATATCACATGCAGATATTGGCACATCTTCTGCAACTGATACCTCTGTATTTGCAAGCGACTATAGTAGTATATTTTACAATATAAAATGTGCACCAAAGCACTAGAGAAATCTGTTCTGTGCAATCTCTTCTGATAATATCACTCCCACACTTAAAAGTCTGGAGAGAATATAAGTGACAGATAACCAGCAAAAACACCTAGGGTACCTAGCGTACTTCTACACCTGTGAGGTGGAGAGCTGTGAATCCAGTGAGTTGATTAATGTAGACAATCAAACTGGGTGGTTCTGCTTTACCATCATGAGTCTTTCAGACTGTGCTAATGTGAGATGTTTACTTTAGTTTTCAATTCTTATTAGTTTGCAAAGGCATAAACATGGGAAAGAATGGAAACACCAGAACCTATTCATTAATGAAATTATTAGCTATGCTACTTGGCTCCAAGCCCTATAAAATACTTTTTTTTATTGTCAGAGGGAACACTGTTCTAAGTGAAGTTTCAGAAATATAGAGTATAGAAGAGAATTAAAATAGAAATAGATACTCCCACTCAAAAAGTACCCAAAACCCAAAACCAAACCTGCTGCCGTCGAGTCGATTTTGATGCATAGCAACCCGATAGGACAAAGCAGAACTGCCCCATAGGGTTTCCAAGGAGTGGCTGGGGGATATGAACTACCGATCTTTTGGTTAGCAGCCGAGCTCTTAACCACTGTACAAGCAGGACTCCAAACAACAAGTATAACTGATGCTTATTAATATTTAGTAAATATTTACTACAAGCTAGGCACAGTGCTAACATGTTATATAGATTATCTAATTTAATTCTTAGAATTAATTCTAATTCTTAGAATTCTTAGAATTAACTCAGTGAACAAGATGTTGTTCCCATTTCTCAGATAAGAAATGTGAAGCTTAAAAAGTATATGTTACTTGCCCCCAAATCTTGGGGCCTGGAAGAGGCAAGATTCAAATCTTGTTGTACTGGATTTCAAAATTGTACACATTTAAATTCATCAAACATAATTTGGGCACCTACTCTGGGTGAAGCACTGGAAATTTAAAGGTGGACAATTTATATGGACAATTTATTGCTTTCATGGAGCATTGACTAATGGGAAATGCTAGGAAGCACACTTAGAAGTCGCTTGGGACCTAGTAACACCCCTCTTCACTCTCAAGTGTGTTTAGAACAGTAAATATTTTATTCCAGTCTACTAACTCACTTATCATCTTGATTCATTTATCTATAAAGAAAAATAGCATTGCAGAGTGCATCAGTTAAAATGCTTTTCTATAAAAGTAACAAAAAACTCACACTGGCTTCAATATGAATAGAAATGTGTTAGTGCAAATTACTGAAATGACCACAGGCAATTATGGCTTCAGGAGAGTTTTCATATGGCAGTTTAAATCATTCATTCATTTGGCAAATATTTGTTGAGCACCAGGGAATATAGCAGTTAACAAAACAAAGTCGTTACTTTCTTGGAGCTTTCATGCAGTGGGAGACACAGGAAATAAACAAATACGTTCTAGGTTAAGTACTGCTGTAGAGAAAAATATTCCAGGGTATGAAAGTGATGGGAATTGTTATTTTATATAAGATCTTAAGGAAGGACAATGAGAGGGTGATTTTTGCGTGAAGCGAAGAGGCAAGATGTGTGAATGAGTATCTGGGGGAAAAGCATTCCATATTGAGGGAATACAAAGTGCAAGGTACCAAGAAAACTGACAAGAAGGCCAGTGTCCGGAAAGGAATGAGCAAGAGAAGAGTGATGAGGTATAGTTTAGGTCCAGATCATGGAGCCCACCATGGTATAACCTTGGGTTTCATTCTGAATGTAGTGGGAAGTCAGGGGAAGTTTTTATGCAGGAGATTGGTATAATCCAAGTTATATCTTAAAATGTGCACATTGAAACAATTGTGTGAATTACGTCTGTGCTCAGGGAAATAATGTGAGCTGGGAGACCAGTGGTCCTAGCAAGAGTTGATGGTGTCTTCAGATTAGATGTCTGGGTGGTGAGAAGTGGTCAAATTTAGGATATACTTTGGTAGTAGAGATATGGAAATTACTGACAGATTATATGTGAAATATAAGAGAAAGAAAGAAATTAAGGAATTAACAGAGCACGCCTAAGTTTGCTATCTTTAGAAGGGCCTTCTTGTAGGGTTGGTTCCTGCCTGGCATCTGGAAACTTGGTTTTTGAAACATTGCTTTTGATAGGCTGTTTTGCCCACCTGGGGCACTGAACAGAAGCTTTTCTGGGACTCTGGAATTTTGATACTTGTGCCTAAGTGACCAGTCCCAACTAAAAATCTTGGATTTTGAATTTCAGACAGGCTTCTCCATTTCAGTGCTACAGAAAGTAACCTGTGCTATGTGACTCCTCCCAGTGGGAAGGAGAGGACATAGGAAGCCTGTGCATGGACTTCCCCAGACTCCACCTGATGTGTCTTTTTCTCTCACTGTGTTGCTATAATAAACTATTAATACAACTACCTCTAAGAGTCCTGCTAGAGAATCACTGGATGTGGAGGTGGT